TTACCTCAAGTGGATAGATTTTTTGGAGGGGACATTCCTTACTAGGCATTACTATCAATTGTATTTGATGCACATACATGAATGCACATCCAATTTAGAAACCTGCCTGGCATGCACAGAAGGATGCAGCAGAAACATATCTGGTTTCCAGCAGAATTTCATTGAAATTTACATGGTCCCTGTAGAATGTTTCAATTTTGTTGAAGTTGCAAATTCCAATGTTCTGCTGATTTTTTTTCAACCAGCTCTAATCTCAACAGATGTTGACTAGACCTGGTTTGACCAACAAAAAGAAGACTCCCTCCCCCGCACCAAAAAAATATCCCCTCCCCCCAAAATTTCCATTTCCAGTCCAAATATTAATGGTCATCTAGGTTGAAATCTCTCCTGCTAGTAGTGCCTTAGAAGTAAAATGTCTGCTTACACTGCACACATATTTTTTCTTATTAAATTCTTTACAGAAATGAAATGACATTTTTTTTCATCACCTTCTAATTCCACGAATTGCTGCACGAGACAGAACTCTTAGGGGATTGTTTGGTTTTGTTTTACTCAAAGCTGAAAGCATGGAATGTGTTTTCTGAGTAACTTCAAGGGCAAATTCAGTAGAGTAGGGGTTTGAGAGACACCATTTAATAAATTCTATCAACCCAACAACCCCGACCCGAAAATAAGTAATATATTTCACTCAGTGCCAAGGAGCAGCGGGAGTCATTTTTCTCTAACTCCTTTCTAGATTAAGCTGGACCTGTATGCATATTCTCTATCTCCACCTTAGTGATGAGCACAAACCTCAAAGGGCTCAAAAGTTCTGCTCATTCTCCATACATCATGAAAAGTGTGGATGTTTTCCAAAGCCTATGCAAACAATACATACGTTGAGACCCTCCAGTTGTCTCCTGGCTCCTCTGCTCTTTGAGAACTAGTTGCTTAGCTCAGCAAGTCTGACAAGTGCTCTGCAGAGATATTTATGCCACTCCATTTAAATCTCTGAAGTGAAGTCCACTCCGACTGGAACAGACTCAGTGTGAGAAATCTGAGAGGAGTATTATCTAGCCCTCATTTGGGAGATTTGAAATTAAGACATCCATGTACATAATCACATAAATACACACTAGAGGCTGGAACTGGAACACTTGCTCTTCAGCTCAGACCCACCCTAGCTACAGGCTAGCTCCATTATTTGGCTGCAGGAAGCGGGTTTCTTATAATCTCTTGCAAGTCAGTCACTAAAGGACAATATCACACATTCAGATACACCAAGCCAGTACATTTGGCGTTTGTTATGGACCTAGAATAGATGTTGGAGTGCCAGAAAAAACTGCTTCACCACCCTTCCCACAGCATGCCTGCAAGTATTATGCCTAACTTTGGCATAATGCCTCAAGGTGCTATCCCCCAAGCTCTGCAACCACTTCTCCCTTTCCAGCATCCTATTGCCCCCAACACAGCATAATATGGCCCAGTTGTACGTATAAGCTTCAGATGTAAGGGCGTGAGGGGAAAGCTCCATGTTCACAACTGTTGGAATCCTGCTGGGGTTTTAAGGAGAAGCCTATTCTACTATAGCATATAACCAACCTGTTGAAAGAGTCTCTGTCTGCTACAGTTATAGTGTATATTTTACTGATAAAATAGTGGATGTTAAGTTATGAGCCTTGATATTTCTCAAGAATTCCTACCAAGATGTTAAACACAAAAATGCATGCAAACAATGCAATGGAAAAAATGTACACCAGGCACCTGCTTTTATCCAGTTTATTTACTTTTGATGCTTATTTTAGCTCTCATTAAAACAACATTTTCATGTCAATAAAAGCATGAACAGCCTTCCTCACCTAACCTTGTACACAACCTTAATATTGATGGGAGACCTCATCCTGCCTGTCTATAGACTTTAATGAATATTCACATATCTGAATACACATAATTATTTCCAAAGTACCAACACTGGTTATGCTGCTGGGCTTAAGGAATAATTTTGCAATATATGTTTGAACTATATTAAAATGCCTGCTGACTACGTATTTGCTGAGAACACACTGCATGAGTGCCAAGAGAAATGAATTTATAGAGTAAAAACTTCTTCTGCACTACTTGGTATTCAGTTCCTCCCTCCAGTCCCCCTCCTCTCCCCCCCCCCACACACGTCCCTTGAAATGCACATGAACACCATATATTTTTAGGGGGATTACTGTAGTAGTGGTTCTTACTGACTGTGAACTTAGCCTTTATAGGTCAGGGATCACTTTTGTACTATAATCCAGAGGGACCTAAAAGCTTACAGTGGATTGAGGCTTGATTTGAGTTTTTATTTCAACTTTTGGCTAGCCACAAGTCCCGATTGTAAATAGCATATAAATGTATAATTGGAAAAACCAGAAATTCAGTATAAAGTGAACCTCTAAGGTCCACCAACTGAAATAATCAACAACCATGCACTAGTTTTCAGAAGAAAAAAATACTTAGCTGTTGCTAAGTTACAGTGAATACCCATTGAATTACACATGAAGCCTACATTAATTCCAAATACAGTCATTATGAGTGGCGGCATTACAAAGAATACCAAATGGATTCAAAATAATGGAAACCTAAATTAAAGAGCTGCCATCACCTTTTGCTACATGTTCCCTCTGCTTTTGTGGGTATTTTTAAAAATAGCTTAACCGCCATGTGGCGTGAAATATTAAGTAACCTTACTGGTAGCAGTACAGTACAAACCATTTCACTGCCTCTAAGGTGAAAGGAGAAGCAAGAAATGCGAAGTAAGAATTCATGGGACAAAAAGGAGAAGAACAGCTGGTTTGTGCTGATATGTGCTGCTGAATTCTACCACATAATAGCTATTTTTTGTGTATTTAAATATGTCAAAACTTGTCGCTCTTTTTCTGCTATTGCCAGTGTTGGAATTATGCTTATTTGTGCTGGACTCAGGTAGCTCATGAATGTAGTGCATCTTGTACCAATTGGGAAAGACTAATCATTGCCAGTTCCATAGTCAGCTCTAAAACCCATGTGTCTGATGGCTTTGTGATTTGATATAGCACTGAACTTGAGCAGCTCAACTGAAGTCACTGCCACCGCCTTCCAATGGAGGAGACACTGTGTTGACTCCATGCACATGGTCCAGATCCTCAGGTGGTGTATCAGCTTCTATCAGCCACTTTACACTAGCTAAGGATTTGGCTCATAAATTTCATCCTTTACCTGCATGTGCACTCCATTGTACTGCTACCACGTGAACCACGTCTGTGAATAAGGCTGTGTCTACACATGAGGCCTGCAACGGGACTGGGATCCCATGGGTCCAGCAGGACCCACTGTCATTATAGTGGGAGCAGGTAAAATGTACTTTATTGCAGGTGGGATTGGGTGGGCAAAAAAAACCAGACTGTGGTAATTTGCAGGAAAACATTGAATTTCTTGTCAGTTTGTCAGAAATAGAATTTCAGCAATGTAAAGCAAGGTGTTTTTTTGTTTGTTTGTTTTTGTTTTTTTTTAATTAAGGTTTTAATTTAAGCAAGGGACAGAAGGAGATTTGAAGTCTATTATAACAGGAGTTAAAGTATTTTACATGGTTTAAGCAAGATTTGTTTTATTCTTTTAGCAGTAAAATTGTGTCTGAATTCCCTTTATATATCTAATATGTTAACTGACTTTTTGTATAGCATGGGGAAAATGTTTCTCTTGCAGGATTTGTGGAATGTAAGGTTTCTGCAGGTGGGAGAGGGATAAAAATGAAAAAAAACAAGGCAGGTGGGTATTGCGGGGCGGGACAGGATAGTCCCGCACAGGGCTCTAGTCTACACCCGCGCATTTTGCTGGCATAGCTATGTCAGTCCAGGGTGTGATGAGGTGTGCGCTCTGAGTGACATAACTTTGCTGGCAAAAGCCCTTAGTGCAGGCAAAGTTATAATTGCAAACAAGTCCTTTTGTCTGTATAGTTTACTCTGTTCAGGGAACTAGTTTAAGTTATACTGGTAAAACAATATCTATATTGGCAAACCCTTTCAACTATAGAGAAGGCCTAAGCAGGGAATAGAACACTGAGGTCTGTGGAATTAGTAAGAGAACACCGATTGGCTTCATGATGAGGAAGAGACAAGGTGAATGGGGAGCAGGGAAAGATAAGATGGGGAAGTGAGACAAGAAGATAAGAATGAGGAGAAATGAGCTGGGGTGGACAGAAGGAAGGGGAAGAGGATCTAAAATGCAGAAGACAAGGGACAAGAGAGACAACTGCGGGAGGAGATCAGGAGGTCAGAGGAAGAAGGAAACTAATATGAGGAAGGGAACCTAGGAATCCCATATTGGATCAGACTAGTGGTCCTATATCCTGTCTGATAGTGGCCGGTACCATATGTGGCAGAGGAAGTGACCCTGCAATAGGCAGTCACAGAATAATCTGCTGCCAGAGAAAATTTCCTCCAGAACCCTAATGCTCTGAAATATGAGGGTTTATCCTCTTCCATAAATTCTTGTTTATTATAACTAGTGACAATGTTTGAAAAGCACCTAGCACATTTTTTATTTATGTATGTATTTGGATTTATACAAATGTTAAAACAGCACGGCTATCCATACACTCTAGACAGCTTTAACATAACTCAAAAATATATTATATATAAAGTCTTTAAAGTACAGCCATGCAATTCAATATAATCCACCACCAATCAAGGCAACATTAAGTTCCAGTTCCATTCCAGCAATTCCCTACCATTACAATCCACATTTCCTTCTAAAGCCTCTCTTCTCCCTCAGCCCTACTGTCAAATGCCTAAGGGGAAAATAGGAATATAGGAACTTTCCAGCATACTCTGAAAATCATCAGATTCAGGCAATTTGGGACCAAAAGGAAGTTAGGGAAAATGAATTTCAAAACCTTGGGGAACAGAACAACCTGCTAACAGTCCTCATACCAGTGGAAAAGAAGTATAGTTGGGTGTCATCTGTACTATATTCATGGTCCTGAAGTTCATGACATTTTATCTTTATTCCAGCTGATTTCACATACATGGCACAGAAGAGGATTGAAAGTATTGAGCCCTGCAACATATGTACTGTACGTACGTGCCTGTCTCCTAGTTTGGGCCATGCGAGCGCTAACAAATATCTTGGCACAGTGGGGAAGCTGGTCGTATTTTGTTTTTTTGCTGACTCAGACCCAAAGAAATCTGCCCTCCCCACCACAATTCTGGCAGCATATTTCCAATAGAGGCTGTAGCCCTAGCTGAAACCAAGGGTTATTTCTTACTATCCCATAGAAAATAACCTGTGTATCAAGTTCTGGGGAAGACTGTATGACTATAATCTGCTTTTGAAATCTGTGAGCACCAGAGGATCCTTTCATTCTACCCATTGCACACAAGACATTCAGAACAAAGCAAAATAAGGCTTCAGGGCAGATATAACAACACTTGACAGTTCAACATATGCCCAATTTAAGCCTATGCTGTCAGATTAAAATAAATGTTTTGTAATATCCATCCTTCTCTGCCCTATCATTTCCCTTCAGCAGGTCAGAGCCATGAAAGAAGTTATTCTTTCTTGTACAGACCAAGTAATTGGCATTTCTCTGGCTGGGATTTCTCGTCAGACTCAAGCTCCTTGTGTATTTGTTTGTATGCCTCAGACTCACCATTGTGATTAATTTATATCTACCATTGTCTGGGCAGAACCAAAGACTGATATAGTGCTTGATAACTGGCAGAAGTGTCCAAGCACTCTAGACAAGCACATTTATTGAGTTCATTTCCCTATCCCCTTCTGTAGCAAGCACTATTCCTATTTGTGATGTTGGGTATTTCAGGAAACACTAAATAAATAACCACCAACTCCTGTGGGTTGTGAGAGATACACATGGCATCACTGCAATAATTGAATTTCAGAGTATTCCTATTATAAACCCTGTCTGCTTTTTCTCCTTAGGACACTGACTCATGCAGCTTCACTTTCTTGATTGCAGTCATTCTGTTGGGGTGATGCCAGAGAACAAGGAAAAGGCTGCCCAGTAAAATATCATCCTTCCTCTGTCATTCTCGCTGTCACGAATACCTGGGACGAATGCCTTGGTTTTGTCTTGCAGAATAAATAACAACAACTTGATTCTTTGTAAGGGCAAATTTTCAATTACCCTTCCTGAGTGTCATTAGAGATGGATTCCAAACTCTCCAAGCCAAGGAATAACCTGAAGAGGAAAGACCTAGGCAATGAATAAAGCGAAATGCTAAGATATTGTGCAAATAAACAATGCTTTGCCATTTTATTGCATGAGCGTCAGCCTGAGAGCCAGCCTTCAGAGGAATGCAGTGAGGGAATGCTGGCTGAAAGTGTACTCTACTTTCATAAACTTAACCAAATTTCCGCTCTGGCAGCCACTGTGACTACTTCAAACTCTGAGTCAAATACGGCAAGCTTTAACTCAGTTTATCAGTATGAGGAAATTAGTATCCCTTCATATGTAGTCTCTTTGTTAACTCCTTGCCTAATTAGCCTGATTGTTGTGCACGATTAAAACTATTTTTGTGTCAAGAGCGAGAATTTAATAGCTGTAATTTGACCACAGCGGCAAATACTATGGCTCTGTTCCCAAGGCCAACTGACTGTCCTCAAATCCTACAAAATCAGGCCCAATTACTCACACAACAGTCTGTCCCACAGGGCTCCAACTAGGAATAAAACATAAAATCATCATCCCCAATTATGTTCTCAATTTGCCAATTGTAAGACAATGAAACAGCCATGTTGATATGGAGGGCTGAGCAAACTATGGCTCCACAGGCTTGTTAAGTGTCTTCGATGCTTTTGTTGTACAGCCCCTACTGCAGCTAACAATAAAGGACATGAAAGTAACAGAAAGGGTTTTTCTGATGATTGTTCTCCTCCTCTTTGGCTTTTAGTGCTAACAGAAACAGATTAGCACACGAGGAAGGAGCGCTGTAAAGGGGAGAACAAATATAACCCAGGAAAAGAAAGACCCGAAGAAAATGAGAGGATGAGAATTAGAGAGAGTGGAAGAACCCAGGGAAAAAAGAGGGATAGATTGAGAGAGAAAGAGAGTGGTAAAATGGAGAACAATGAGAGAGCAGAAACAAGAGAGAGACAGAAAGAATGCAAAAGGAGAAGTAGGCCTTGTCTATAGCATTACCACTCGCTTTTCCATTGTGAGGGCAGCTCTCATTCTGGTGTCTTTATGCCGCAGGGCAGGGGCGAGCTCTGCACACAGTTCCAGGAAGGTTGCTTTGCGCATTCAAAAGTTCTGCAGCCGCTGCTCGTCATCCCATATCTGCATCACGATGCAATCCCACCACTCTATGCTTGTTTCCCAAGCCCAGTATCAACAGTCCACTGTGGCAAACTGGTCCGTGAATCCCAGCAGTAATCTTGAATTATCTGTTTCCATGGCAGACAGCAGGGCAGGCATCACTGATTCCCTCTGTTTCGCAGCTTATGAAATACTGCAGGACCAGCCGCATTGTGTTCATAATGTTCATTGCCAGAATGGTCAGCAGCTCAGGCATGCTATCAGGCAGAGATGGTGGATGTACAGTTTACAAGGGCTGTTGAAAAATGGCACAAAATTAAGTAGGAAGCCCATGGAATGCTGGGACAGAAAGAACCGCATCACAGGATGGCAAGCACGTCCCCATGATGCACTGAGATCCATTCCCAGCCGCAGAGGGTGACAGAAGTTGGTGAGTTCCACTGTGGGATAGCTACCCAGGATGCAACACTCTGTCTGTCGATGCAAGGGCTCAGCCAACACAAGGAACGTTGTTTGGATGTGCTCCGTCCATTTTATTAAAGCGACTTCTGATTGTTGACAAAACTTAAGTTGGCTTAACTCTGTACTGAAGCAGCGGAAGAAAGTTATGTGGGAGACAAAAAATATAAGGCCAAGTATGGTTGGCTTTCAGTGAATGCTCTAGTGTTGAGAGGGCAAAGGGAGGCTTTACTTTCCCTGAGTTGCACAGGAGACAGCCATAAATGGGCTGCAAGCACTGAGGAGGAGTGTGATAGAGGAACCATTGTCACAACTGCCAGCCTATATTTCCACAAGGTAAAGCTTTTTAATGGGGTAGCAAAAGCCAATGATAATCAAATTAGATTTCCTAGTGGCACTGTGATTTAGAGGGGCCTGGTGTGTCCCTCCATGCCACATAAACACTATAATTACTCCACAGGCTTTGGATGACTCATATTTTTCAGAAAAAAACAGTTGAAATATGACATATAGTTCTCTGAAAATGTGTATTTATTCATTGCTCTAAACGTTGGAGAGTAATGATTTTTAACATCCTCTCTTCCTTATTCTTGTTGATCCCCAGAACTTTTTTCTTCCGGTAGCTTCTTTCTTTATCCTGATTTTTCTTTTTTCTCCTTTCTGTCTTAGTGTCTCCTTGAAAACTATTGAAATGTGATCCCTTAGTGCATGGATCAGCTCTGATAAAAATGACTAGTGTCAGGCATATAATTACCAGATAACTGTTTGTTTAATGAATTTAGCTCCTATTCTGTTCATGGATTACCTGGGATTCATGACTTAGACCATTATAAGTTTGTTCATTATTTAAAATTGCTTATTGAATGTTTTCTGCAACCATATTCAGCTTATAGATTACTTGAAAACTATTCACTATAATTATTGCCATGAGTATATGACAGAGTCAATATAAGGCACAGGCATCACAGGCCTGTTGCTATGGCTCCAAATCCTGAAATCACTAGTTTCCTTCCCGCCAGAACCAGACCTGATAGCGCTGACTCCCCATGACATCGCCCCCAGACACAAGGGGTGTCCTGGCCATGAGTTACCTATGACACTGTCAAGCTGTCTGGAATGGGTGCCAACCTCAGGGCAGACTGTTACAAACCAGGGCACAAACCCCAAACTGGTTGTGTGTTCTATAGTTAGATTTCACCAACCAAGTATGAACTCTTCAAGCACTGTAGCAGCCTTAGCATGGAGTCACAGAAAGTCCCATTGGGGACTCTGATCTATCTTGCCACCCAGGCAAGCTTGTCTTTGTGATAGTTGGTCCCTAACACCAAAAATCACAACAATATTCAAGTTACTCCCAGTCCCAATGGACCCGTTACTTACCCCAGATCAATTGTACCTTGGATGTGTCACCAAAGACAACACTTGTAGCCAATCCTGTAATTAACTAAAGATTTATTAATTAGGAAAAGGTCATATGGTTTAAGCAGGTAAACATGCCCACAGATGAGTTACAGTCATAGGTAACAGAAGCTGCTGGCAGTGTGAAAGCTCTATGTGTCCTTTAGGGCTAACCTAAGCTAAGCAGCTTGGGGATCCCTTGCTTACACTTAGAAATACTGACCTCTCCAAATTCCAAGCAGCATAGTAATACAGATCCTTCTGGTCAGGGATTTTTATTCACTCCTCCCAGAGTTCTAACTGTGATGGGACAAAGATTTGTGCATGTCCCCTCTTCATGGGTGTGTGTGGGGGGAGCAATCAACAGCGTCTTTCCCCCACTGACATTCCATATTGGTTCATCTGGTGTCCATAGACCTTTTTTGTTTGGTAGGAAATGACACCTCTTTTGATAAACCAGTACTCACGCTTGGTAATGCTTCTATCATGACTGTTGGGGGGGGGGTCTCAAAGAAAACACTTTTAGAGTTTTTATAGTTACAAAGTAAACACTTAAATATTACCTTATAATATGGGATACAGATATTATAAGTGAGATTAATGCATGCAGCAACTCACAAGCATTTCATAAAGTCCAAACATTAAACATATCTCTATAAATCTAACGCCTATTTTAAGAATACTATCACACAGGTGAGCCAGCCTGGTTTCCAGCTCTGCATTTGTCAGTATTCAGTAAGGACTAGGGGCCTCGGCATGAGCTGGCACCTGGTCTGCCAGCCTCACAGACACCAAGGTGAATTTATTCTAATTTTGAAGTATTTTTGTCTAGCCCTACATGATGAATCTTCTGGATTTAATGGAAACAGCAAAATTGGGTACTTTAGCCAAGAGCTACTGAGTCCTGATTACCAGAGACCAAAGCTTTATTCTGAGCTAATGGAAGATTCTTCTGGCAATATCGTAAAATGAAAACACCTGTTGTTGTTTATATATTTTAAAATTGTTGTATTTGTGTTACAGACACCATTAAAGTAATATACTGAAGTATTGGACCAATCATCTCCTCCACTTGTGTCAGAGTAGACTCATATCAGACACCATTCGGGTTTTGGAGGGACACTCAAGGAATAGCAGCAGAGCAGTGTGGCGTGTTCCCCTTTCCTTCTGCTGTTCTTTGCATTAGAACAAGAGCTGGCATTTAACATTTATGGTATTTATAGTCAGGCACCACACACTACACAACCAGAACCTCTTTTAAGCTGTTCCCCTTTGCTAGAGTCCATTCCAGACTCCCACCCCTGGGCTTTGCATGCAGAACCCTCCTGCTGCATTTGGGAAGAGAGGAATTCACCCAGAAATCATTCCAGCATCATTTTCAGCACAAACACTCAGCTCTATTAGTAACACCTGGATCAGCAACAGACCAAATCAGTGTCCAAATGTCCCCAGCCCCAATCTCTCTGTGGTGCAAGCTCGGAGTAATGAGTCCAGCTCTCTGCTATATTTTGACATCTCATGCCTATAGCTGACTGGGCCCTGGGCAGTCAGGCCTAGTGGTGGAAGCAAGAGTTCAGGATACCAATTAGAGTTGGGTCCAGGGCAGGCAGAGTCCAGGAGACGAGCTGAGGGTCAGTACCAGAGAGACAGAATGAGAGGATCAGACAGCAGTAAGCCAGAGGCAGAGCCAGAAGTCTAAAGCCGGAGGGGACCGAGGGCTGGAGCTGAGCAGAAACAGGGACAGGAAGCAGGAACTGGAACACAGGCTGGAACAAAGCAGAAGCAGGAACTGGAACAAGTGCAAGCACAACTGCAGGCAAGGTAGACATTGGGCAGTTGCTGCTCTCTAATGGGGGCCAGTCGATAAGCAGGGCTGCTAAACCAGTGGCTGTGGCCACTCTGTTAGTTCCAAGTGTAGTGAAGTTAGTCAAGGAGCAGGCCAGCAACTAGTCCTAGCTGGTCTGGTTCCTGACACTGCCATAGTCCAGGTACTGGCCTGGACTTCTCTGTTGGGTTTCAGCTGCCCCCCTCCCCTAGTCTGGTCCCTAGGTCAATCCCTCAGGCAGAGGTGCTCTCTCTCTCTCTCTCTCTCTTTCAGCTACAGCAACACACAGCTCCAGGCTGCCCAACCACATGGGACACAATGGAACCATGCATCCAGTCTGCACAGCTCATTCAGTCCCTCTGTTCCTGATGAGGGGCCTCCTTCCCTTTGGGTTCTTGGTGATTCTCATTTGCAGCGCAGTGAAGGTTCACAAGAACCACATGTTCTGGCTGTAAAAGCAGCAAAGAGTCCTGTTGCACCTTATAGACTAACAGACGTATTGGAGCATGAGCTTTCGTGGGTGAATACTCACTTCGTTGGATGCATGTAGTGGAAATTTCCAGAGGCAGGTATAAATATGCAAGCAAGAGTGAGTCAGGCTAGAGATAACGTGGTTAGTTCAATCAGGGGGGATGAGGCCCTCTTCTAGCAGTTGAGGTGTGAACACCAAGGGAGGAGAAACTGCCTTTGTAGTTGGCTAGCCATTCACAGTCTTTGTGTAATCCTGAGCTGATGGTGTCAAATTTGCAGATGAACTGAAGCTCAGCAGTTTCTCTTTGAAGTCTGGTCCTGAAGTTTTTTTGCTGCAGGATGGCTACCTTTAAATCTGCTTTTGTGTGTCCAGGGAGATTGAAGTGTTCTCCTACGGGTTTTTGTATATTGCCATTCCTAATATCTGATTTGTGTCCATTTATCCTTTTACATAGGGACTGTCCAGTATGGCCGATGTACATAGCAGAGGGGCATTGTTGGCATATGATGGCGTATATGACATTGGTGGACATGCAGGTGAATGAACCGGTGATGGTGTGGCTGATCTGGTTAAGTCCTGTGATGGTGTCGCTGGTGTAGATATGTGGGCAGAGGTTTGTTGCATGGATTGGCTCCTGAGTTGGAGTTACTATGGTGCGGTGTGTAGTTACTGGTGAGAATATGCTTCAGGTTGGCGGGTTGTCTGTGGGCGAGGACTGGCCTGCCACCCAAGGCCTGTGAAAGTGAGGGATCATTGTCCAGGATGGGTTGTAGATCCTGTTCCCTAGGCCAGAACTGGCTCTCAGCCTGTTGTGTCCCTGCAACAGCAGTCACTGAGGCCACAGTCCCTGTGCCATTGCTGCCTTGGCCATCCTTTCTTCTTAACAAGACAGATTGCCACAGGACAACTGGGGCAGGATTCTCTGCCGCTTCTCTACCTCATCAGAATGTGTGGGGAGAGGAGGGAAAGGGAAGGGTGAAAGAGACCAATTCCTCCTATTTGCTCATCCCCTTCCAATCAGATCTTAGGGAGCAGGGCTAGCTTTTATAGTATTGCTTCTGTTCTCCGGAGCGGGACTTCATACCTTCACCCTGTAGCCTGACTGACTGCCCCCTGCAGTCTGGAGCCCTGCTTTCCAAAATGGAGATTTCCCTTTGGGTTCTGAATCCACATGCCACATCCTTACACAATAACAGCTGCTACACACATTCCTCACTGAAGGTACATGATACATTAGGGCTCTACAGGTCGGTAAAGTGCATAGTACAACAGGTTTGGGAGGTAGCTGTAGCTAGGTAAAATAACACTCTTTGTGTTAGTGTTATCTTATACTTCTTTCTCTTCTATACCTTTTACCCTTCCTGCCTGCTAGGAAAAGAGACTGAGGCACAAGCTGGTAGAAGCTACGGACCATTGGCTAATGAGGGACCTGGGCTGTGATGGGAGGGAAGAGTGGGCTGAAGAAGCATTTGGAGTTCTCTGTAGATCTCAGAGTATACATTTATCAGGAAGACTAAGCCTCCTGCTCTCTCTGTAGTGAGCAATTCCTTCTCCTACAGCTTGTAGGGATAATCTGAAGGAAACCATGCACATTAATTCATATAGGGCACACATGGCAAAATTTCTGTTGATTTCTATGGGACCAGGATTTCGCCCATGGTGTTTCCTGGCCCTTAAGTTAGTTATACCCCTGGAGCAGATGGTATGTATCGTACTTTAATCTACATTTTCCTCTGTTTAGCATCCTGCCAAAACAAAAACCATTTAGCAAGGAAGAATAACATAATTAAATCCCTATGGTGAGTCTTTCATTTTGAAGAGAGGAGTATCTCAGTGAGCAATATCACTAACATTAAACATTAAACTTGCATTAATGATAGACACCAGGGTGCAGATACAAAATCACAGATTGAATGGATATGATGTTTGGACTATCATTGAGATAAATTGAGAACATGCTGATATTTTGTGATTTAGCAAGAGATGTGAGAAAAATCATTTACTCTATTAATTCATTATTCATAATGCTAAGTTAATTATGAGTTTATTAAAGATAATTTATTCATGGCAATTTATTTACATGGAACTTTACTTCCTGTGATGAAGATCTTACTCAAATATTTATTTTTATTATAATTTATATACATCTATAGATGTAAATTGTCCTTTACACAGCAATTTAGTAATGGTTTTATTCCAATTGTATTGAGAAGATCTACACTTCAGGCCATGACAGAGTAATTGTTACAGGAAAAGTAATGAACCACTTCCTGTGGCAATTCCTTTATATGTACAACTCATCTATTTTTTAACAAATTTATTGACAATGAAATTGAATCATTATAATAGTGAGCACTTACCTGATGCTTTGCATTCTTAAAGAACTTAAAAAATTTAACTGAGGAATGCTTAAAAATGATCACTGGAAGTATATTACATTTCCAGATTCTTCAGGCCAAAAAACTCCCATACAAAATGATATTTACTATAATTACTTTAACGAGGAGGGACACTTTGCCCAGTTTAAAAGGAATGTTTTAACTAAGTCAGATTCAATAGATAAGCAAATAATCTTAGTATAATTGTTTTCTTCATCAGGACAAAAATGCTATTCTGGGCAATGTTAGTCCTATTAGAACAGTTAGTTCCATCTGTAAATAGAGCATCATAGAATCATAGAAAAGTAGGACTGAAAACTACCTTGATAGGTCATCTAGTCCAATGCCCTGCACCAAGGGAGGATCAAGTATTATCTAGACCAGTGGTGGGCAACCTGCAGCCTGCGGGCTGCACGCAGCCCATCAGGGTAATCGGTGGCGGACTGTGAGACAGTTTGTTTACATTGACCGTCCACAGGCATGGCCGCTCGCAGCTCCAAGTGGCCGCAGTTCACTATTCCCAGCCAATGGGAGCTTCAGGAAGTGGCACGGGCCACAGGGAATTGCTGGCCGCCACTTCCTGCAGCTCCCATTGGCTGAGAACGGCGAACCGCAGCCACTGGGAGCTGTGGGTGGCCTACCAGTGGATTACCCTGACGGGCTGCATGTAGCCGCAGGTTGACCGCCACTGATCAAGACCATCTCTAACAGGTGTTTGTCTAACCCAGTGGTTCTCAAACTATGAGTCAGGACCCCAGATTGGGTCATGACCCCGTTTTAATGGGGTCACCAAGGCTGGCTTTAGACTTGCTGGGGCCAAGGGCTGAAGCCAAAGTCCAGGGTCCAGGGCCGAAGCCCAGGGCCCACCACCCAGGCCAAAGCCTGAGGGCTTCGGCCCTGGGTGGTAGGGCTCAGGTTAAATGCTCCCTCCCACCCCCACCGCCCCTGCCTTGGGCTGAAGCCCTTAGGCTTTGGCTTTGGCCAAACCCCACCTGGGGTGGCGGGGCTTGGGCAGGCTCAGGCTTCTGTCCCCCTTTGAGGGGTCGTGTAACAATTTTTTTTGTCAGAAGGGGATCATGGTGAAGTTTGGGAACCACTGGACCTGTTCTTAAAAACCCCCAGTGATGGAGATCCCACAACCGCCCTAGGTAATTTGTTCCAGTGCTTAACTACCCTTACAGTTAGGAAGTTTTTCCTAATGTCTAACCTAAATCTCCCTTGCTGCAATTTAAGTCCATTGCTTCTTGTCTTGTCCTCAGTGGTTAAG